GTGAGTGGAGACGAGGATTCAGAGTTAGAAATGCATGATGTCGGTCCTTCTAATTAATTCGTGATTAAGCCGGATTTATAGAGACAGACAGTGTCAACATTAAAGAGTCCCGATAACCGACACAGATCAGGAAGTCTGCGGACAGCAGGGCGTGCAGTAGGTGATCGCAGCAGCGTGGACTTAGCATGGAATTGAACGGTCGAGCCCTGATCCACTGAACTAAATTCACTCAATCAATAGTTAAGAAATATTAAGTAATCGGAATTTGAGAACTTCGATCATTACATGAAGAAGTGATTTCGAAATGATTTGAGCGCGTCTTACGTTGCCTGTGCTCACTGCTACAATAAAATAATCCAATTCGCTACTTGTACATAGGTTAAATCGTTACCTCGCATGCCGCTCGCAACCAATAAGATTAAATCAACTGCAAGGTAGAGAGAAGGCTGTTGCTAACGCATTCATTTAAGGAATCCGAATCTCCAATGAATTCTCTGCCAGAAGACTATTATTGACGCGTAATGAGACTAGAGCAGACCAGCCTTCGACACCAGGCTTCCTCGAGACCCAGAGCAACACAACTGCCACGAGAATACCAAGTGCTGAGCCTTCAGCCCATCTACAATCGTAAAGGAACATCCACCTCATGACTCATGACCGTGCATCCTTAACAGCCGGACTGCCATTTTCGCCGCTATGTTTGCCATTGTTCCAGTGGTTGCGATTTCCCCAAACATGTTATTGTCGCGGATCGAGTAGGGTGGAACCGTGGCCACATTTCGGCCTTAGTACTATTACTAAAACAATGAGCATACACACAATTTTTTAGTCTATCCATCCACTGTGGTGAGCAGCACGCGAACGCAGTTAGCAATCGGGAGTGAACATGATCCAAGTGATTTACTCGAATGAACTTCACCTAACTATGTTCGTTCAGGGATCAACGTTTAGCAAGGCTATATAAACGTACTTGTTTTCTTGTAAACACCACACACCGCTGCATCAATAAATTAGTTGAGCTACGCGCCATCGGAATTTTCTGCTCTTCTTTCGGTCGCACCGTGTCAATGTACATTGTCGGCCCTGGTGTGGTTTCTGAAACCGCACCGGGGCCCACTACACCACAATTGATTCTGTTGTAGTAGTTGTGGTGGTGGGTGTCTGCGTACCACCAATGTTTACGCTCTGGATGCATTTTTCACTTGCACACCTTCCTGCCTCCCACGAGTAGGTTTTACGCAGAAGGTAGGCAATTGCAATCCCACCTTTACATGCGCTCAAGGCTGTTCATTTGGAACCAGTTTTGATTTGGAACAACTCCAGGTAACAGCGTCCCAAATTAACCACCCGAGTCGAGATGGAGCACCTCAACTGCGGTAGATTAGAAGGTCCCGATTAACGCCAGATGTTGAGGCTGATGTCGACGTCAACTTCTACGACGTCTCAACAATGTATCTTCCCCAAACCAGGTGCATCCGCTACACCTTCGTCGAACAAATTTTGCTTCTCTGTATGCTTAGTTTGTATTTTAATGAAAACACGTGTACACTTAGAAAATGCGTAATTAGAAGTTTGAGGAGGGAGTAGGTGAGGGAATCTGGGTAGCTCATTCATTCATCTGTTTCGACCTTGTCAAACCTCACAACGAGGCCACCGTCGCCAACAGCAATGAGAGTTCGTCCATCGTTCGCGAACCGTGTTTGTCGAATGGCTCCGAAGTTGTTTACTCCACCCAGTCCTGTGGCCGACACTTGCAAGATCTGAAGTCATGGAAATTCCAAAGTCTATATGGTAAATCGACATGTGAGTTGTTGACCGCCCAAAGACTGGGCTACACATTTACAAGAGTCAAATTCTTGCTTCTTCGCAGCAGCAGTAACGCTAGAATGGACACAAGAGATGGCACCAAGAGACTTGATGTGTATTCTGAATTATTGTGTTTAAGCACAGGGGAGCAGTGTGCAATGGAGGTGTTAACACGAATGCCGTGACTACGTCAAGGAGGCACTGGAACGGTCACTTTGGGCCGGAAGACATCGTACTGTCTGGTTGATTGAGTTGCAAAAGAGCAGATCCACGCCACCGCACACCTGGACTCAAGCACGGCCAGACAGAGAGAAGTAGGCGTCTGTAAGGTGGCGTCATTACAGGTGTCATGCGCACATCCATTCAAATGACCGTCAATGAACGACACACCCGAAAACAAGTGTATGGGCTGCGTCATCTAGTCATCTGACTCGTGTTGATGCTACCACAGGACTTCTAGCATGTCTAACAGCTATGCACGATGGTAGCAGCTTTCAAAAACACGTTGCTGACCTCACTGCCACGTCATTTCACCTAAAACCTAATGTAGAGGGCTTGCATTGCAATCCGATTGATGTGGTGCAAAATGTGCACTGCTTCGAGGTCGTTCGCACTCTGCAGCGGACACTGACGCGTCATGGAGTCAACGAAACACCTCACCTCACACGCCTAGCTGTGAGACCGTGGTCACTGAAACAACTGAGGCACATCTGTAGCCATCTGGGCAGAGCTATGCGCCTGCCTCACATCGCAGCACAATCCAAGACTTGAAGCGCAACAATTTTTCCTTGCAATGGAACACAGAAGGATGCACAGCCTTATCAGGGAAATGCGGCCATGCTGAAAGACAATGATTAGCGCACAGAAGCCTACCTTAGGAGTCAAATTGAATGCACTTTCGAGCTGTGAAAGATCCCACAGAAAGATGCGAGGCAGCCCCACGCCCGTTCCCAGGGCCAGGAGGCGATGGGCCAAGTCGAGGTCGAACCTAATGTACCACAACTGGCAATCGGGCAGACGCAGTTGGTGTAACACGCTGCACCTCGTCTCCTGTGGCACTCCAGTCATGTCACCCCGAGCCCGCTTGTCAATCGCCGTGAGTCGAGGGGGCAGGGTTAGTCCGGCATCAAGAGGTCCCGGCTTCCACACCACCACTGCGTTCTCGCATGACTTGGATATCACGAGGGAACCGAACCAACGTGCACAATCCACGTAGTTCCCGTGGGCGTCGCGACTGCTGAACTCGGGAAAGTGTTGAAGCAGCGTGGGGTAGGGCCTTCAACAAAAAGACATTTAAGACAGGCTTGGTTGTTGTTGACAACTACTCAGGACCAAGTAGAAAGCGGCTAGCAGTGAATCGACACTAAGGTAGGAATGCAATGTGCACACAGGCTTGGCACTCGTTTTCTGGTGCTCGATACTTTAATGTTGCAAGTAATGTTGCAAAAACCACTCGCAACACCGCCCTCAGTCCACTACAGCATTCTGGTTTCAGCTGCGCATGCCGATTAGTCGATAGGATGAGACAAGCGCTCACCTCAAGCGGGTCTGCACACACACACAC